TCGACATTTTGAATATCAATGAAGCACATAAAACGCGAAACTAACATCCGATTTCATTCAGAGTTGACACATCTCAATATTTCTATCACCACAAGATCTGTTATAAGGATGGAAGATATCGGACCAGTCCGTCTGGTACTTCTCCCACAAAGGGAGAATCGTTTTGAATGACCAAAACGATCATAAAATCCAAAAAAGGCATCCGATTCTTTTCATATTTCACACATTCCATTACTTCGACTAACACATGATCTGCTGTGAGAATGAGATATATCGGTGGACACCTTCTGCTACCTCCCCCACAAAGGCTCAAAATTTGGAATATCCATGAAGCTCATAAAACTCGAAATTACCATACGATTGTATTCAGACTTGGTACATCTCACTATTTCCATCAACACAAGATCTGTTATAAAGATGGTAGAGATCGGGTTATTTCTTTTGGTACTCTCTTTAAATATTACTCGCTATATATAAATATTTATAAAATTAGATTCAAATGGATTATAAAATACCACTTAAAATCTTTTAAATATTTCAAATTAAGGGTTATTGAAAGAGCTATAGTTTTTGCCCAACAAATTGAATTTGAATTTAGAGTTCTTAGATAATTTCTATCAAACTCTTCGTTAACTCTCTCCACATTTTGTTTGAGATATATTCCACGACATATGATTAAACAAGAATACTTCTAGACTAACCAACATTGAAAATGACATTGACAGCAGCATCTACGCCTTCACTTGGCCAGAGATAATTTGACGGTACACAGTTTTAAATTTTCCCCAAGAATTCGATATACTCACCATATGACCAAATTAAATACCATTTGATTTTTTTTTTTTTGATTTTAGATAACAATTTTTCTTTATTATTTTTTTTCACTTCTTTGATTTGTTGTTGTTTATGATAAATGTTTTTTTTTTTCATTTTTTTCTGTTTATCGACAACTTTTTTTCTTTCTTTTGCTTCTTCTATATGTTATTTTATATAATAATGGCTTACAGACTAGGCTAACACTAAATTTTGGGGGGTCATTTTTTGTTTTATTTTTGTGTGTGTTTAGGTGATAGGTGGTGGTGTAGGTTGGTGGTGGTTATACTTTATACAAGGGAGCAATGTGCTTTTTAATTGTATTTGTTTTTTGTTATTATTTTATTTATTATATTATGAATTAATTTATATTATTTTGTTTATAATTATATTTAAATAGTTATACATAGATTTTGTTTTCATTTAGCATTCATTCATAACTTCAGACATACTTTATTTATAATCATTCATCATTTTTGCAGCGGGTTAAAGGATGGGTGTGGTAATTTTTTTTATTCTAGGGGGGAGATTTTTTTTAATTTTTTATTTGAAATTAACTCAAAAAAATATTAAAAATAAGAAATGGATAGATTTTGTGGCTGCCAAACACGATCACTTAAAAATTGAATAAAATGCAGAATCTATCTTCTTTTTCAAAAGAATGTGAATGTTGCTTGTTTTTTTGTAATCGTATTTGACTGTTTATACATTTCAAACATAATTTTATAACAAAAATGAATAACAAGTTTGATAATTTAGATAATCAAAATAAAAATTAAGAAAAAAAAAATTATGTTGTTTGACAACACTTCTTTTTAAATTGTTAGTTTAAGATTATTTAGACATTAAGAAAATCAGGGTAAAAATTAATAATTTTTAAGACAAAATATATGCAGTTGTTGATGTTATTACAATTTAATTAATAGCCGAGATTTTTTATAAATTCGTTTAGTTTAGAAGCAACAAATAATAATTAATTGCAGAGTTCATTAAAACACATTTTTTTAAATAAAAAAAACAAATAAATTTTGAAAATATTTGTAAATTTAAAAAAAATTCATTTTCTAATTTGAAAGTTTGGAAAATTTTTACTCAAAATTAAAGGATCAAATTTCCAAATTTTTGAAGTTCACCTAAATACTTGTTTAACTTGTTTGGTCCTCCTCCTCTGGAAAAAATTTAAATTTTTCTGATGCATCAAATTGCAAGAATTAAGACATGAAGAAGGTCGAAGGACCAAAATTTACATGTTATAACCTGTTCAACCGCAATGCCGGATTCAAATCACTTTCAAAATGGAAAAAAAAAAATTTTGAGAATAAGGGAGCAAGCATGTTTGGCATTATTGAAATGGGTTGTGTTCACAAATTAACATGTGCTCTTGTATACCATGACCCTTGATCCAGAGTTAAGGGATATATTTTACTGAGCTGGATTCTTGTTCTATGAAAAAATATTAAAGGACAATATTTTATTTTTTTTCACTTTCATAGATCAGGAATACATCTTGAGAGTTCATATCGGTCATTAGTTCCGTAATTCTATTTTCGACCGGTCCTTCATTTTTGTTTATCCCTACTTTAACTTTAGATTAACTGAAGGATCTTGATGATTCAATGAGGTGCGTATAGATCCGATTGTTCCCTGTTGTGAATAGTTACTTTGAACTCGTTCGTTTTTGAGTGACTCGTTCGTTTCTGAAAATTGCGCAACATGGAGCTAATTTTTTCGAGAGGTTCCCTTCTTCCATCCAGTGACATATTTTGTCTTTACCCCTTGGTAAACATTATCATCGTTCTCCACTAATAAACGAACGTTGTTTTTATAAAAACAACAATAAAGGGATTAAGCCTGACCATTTCGCAACAATAAAATTTTGTCTTTATATAGAAAAAAATATACTTAGTTGGGTCGCAGATTCTTTTCAATGCCTTTTTTGGGTCCAGACTCAATACGAATTGAGGCTACTGTACCACCCGGACTATAATTTTGTCAAAATTAATCGAATTTGTCGGGGCAGCCTTCGCTCTTTGGCCTGCGACGGCCGGTTCTATGTACCGAATTGACTCGAAGGAACAAATCTTCAACCAGGAGCCTTCAACCACCCGAATATATGTTTGTATTCATCCGAGTTCTGTCCTTTAGCTTATTGAGTATTTATTTTGATCTAGTTCATTTCGGATCCAGACAATTCTGATTTTAAAAATTACTCTAAAATTCACTCTTGGACTTCGGATTGGACTCCGATAATCTTTTTGTTTCGAAGATCATGCAAAATATATTTGATCGAATTACCACAAATCTTTTTCTTTCTTGTTCAATTGGCTTTCTATAGGCAAGGAACTAGTTCCTTCGTTCCATCTTTCTTACGTCGATATGGAAAAATTAATAGTTCGATCCCCCCTTCGTTTCTTTCTTGTAAAACGCTTTAAAGAGACCCAATGTTACTGGAACTAGATTAACTAAGGAAGCTAGAAGGATGAATAAGTTGGATTCGATTGCTGTAGTTCCTTTTATGAATGCATTTTTGGAACCACTTCATTTCGGATCCTGACAATTTTGGATTAAAAAGTTAATCTAAAATTACATTATCTTTACTCTTTAAACTTATTGGATTCCGAGAACCATAGTTTTATGTTCGGTTTTCATAATTTTTAGTTTCGAAGATTCCTATCGCAAAACATATATGGTAGAAGGACCAACAATATTTTTTCTTTCTAGTTCAAATGGCTTTTTATAACCAAGGGACTAGTTCCATCGTTTCATCTTTTTCATGTCGTTATGGAAAAATTTAGTCCATGACTCTAATTCAATCGCTCTTTGGGTTCTCTCTTGAAAAAAAAAAAACTCCAAATGAATGAAGATTGAATTAGGTGAACTGAATAAATTAATTCAACTAAAGGAACTTGTCCAAGTAAAGGAACTAGTTTAACTGAAGGAATAAGATGTTTCAAGAATGCAGATCCGGTTCCTCTCGTTATTTTCACTGAATATCTAATTTCAACCAGTTCATTTCAAATTCAGACAACTCTAGCGTGGAGTATAAAAATGTAAGAGTTCAAAGGATTGTAACCCAAAAATGTAATTTATATTCAAAATATTGTTTCTATTCCGAAATATCAGCTTATCATAGCTTTTACTTTTGAAGGACATAAAAAATATATTTGGTCGAAGGACCACAAGCTTTTTTCCCTTCTCGTATTAATAGCTTTCTATGGCTGAGGAACTAATTCCTTTGTTCCACCTTTCTTGTCATTATGCAAAATTGTTCTTCTTACTTCGATCCAGGGCTCTAATTCTATCACTCCATCGTTCACCGAAAATCTTAACAATTGAAAAATAAATTAGATGAACTAAAGGAATAAGTTCAACTAAAGAGCCTAGTTCAAGTAAGGGAACTAGTTCGAGCAAAGGAACTAGCTCAACTTAAGAAACAGGTTCAATTGAAGGAACTAGGAAAAAGAGGCTGGATATGTTTCTTGTAATTGTTCAAGAATTCAAGGGATTCTAACATAAAAATATCATTCCAATTCGAAATATTGTTCCTATTCTGAAATTTGATCAATATTGGAATTTCCAAACTATTAATTTCGAGGGATATAAAAAACATATAGTTCTTGCCGAAGGACCAAAAATCCTTTTTCCATTTCTAGAAACGTCAATTGAAATGCCAGCTGGATAAAGATTACCGGATGGAACATGGCGCAATGACAAGGTGATCCTGCAATGTTTAAAAAGCAGATGATTTATGAACGAAGGACCAAAAAAATAAAGTCGGGGCCTTGGGTTGTAAACTTGCATAAATAATTTCAAATTTTAAAATAAATACATTCTGCAAAATTATGATCATGGCCGAAGGACCAATACACTTCATGTTCGATTTCGATTGATTAAAAAAAAACATGGATTTAGAACTCATTTAAAAAGCAAAATTTTCTCGTTAATATTTTGGATTTTCTTCATTACACACAGACATTGATTGATACATACATGGGCAAAAAATGGGCCGATGGGGGAGGAGGCTTGGTGGATAAGTGTTTGATTTTTTCAAGGTAAAATAAATAAATACATTTGTTTATACTTTATATAAATTCAATTTACAATTGTTTCAATTTGTTTTAAATCGCTCATTTCTTCCTTCTTTTTCTTGGATTTTCAAATTTCTTTTACATGAATTTTTTGTGTGATTTTATGTTTTGTTGTTTTAGTTGCACTTCAGCAATAATATCAAAATTAAGCAGCCATTAATTTGTTGTGGTTGTAGTTGTTGTTTTTGAATTTCTGTTTTTTTAATTTTTCATTAATTGGACTTGTGAATACTTCCATTTCTTGCTCTGGGGAGATTATTGACCTCAGTTGTCCTCAGTGGTTTTTTGATTAATCTTCTTCTTGCTGATGTTGGTATTCGGCCAGGGTCTTTAAAAATAGCAAACGCGTTGCCAACTCTTTTGAATATTACCAAACAAGCGTTTCGTTTTGCATATTTGAGGGTTCACTGAAATTCCCCGCCGACATGAATTCCGGTGATGTTGAACGCGGGCCATTGACTTGTTGAGATTGTTGCTGTTGTTGCTGAGACTGTTGCTGCTGCTGTTGTTGTTGCTGCGCGGCCAATAAATGTTCCGTGGGCGGTTGTGGTCCTCCCGCTGACTGAATATTCATGGGCGGTCCACCAGCCGTTTGACTTAGGAAATTCGAATCAGGCGTCAAGCCAAATTCATTTACCATAGGTATGGGTCCCGTGTGATCCATTGGTCCACCTACAAAAGGTACAATAGCTATCATTAAAATGGTTTAATATATGTGTCACTTGCGGGGGTTGAGAGCTGTGGGGCAGCTCTATTACTTACCGGGTGCATTAAAAGGCATTGGTCCTCCAGGATGGCCGGGAAAGAAGGGACCATCGTGTGGATGAAAATGTGGTCCATAACCGAATTCGAATTTACCCTCGGCAGCGAAATAGGGGAAGCCAGGGCCATCATCCATACCGGGCGAGAGGTTCATGGGGAAACCGCGCATTTTTCGCGCTCCACCAAAGAACGGTGGACGACCCATGCTGGTGATTTGTTTCATGCGGCGTTCTTTTGAGCGTTTGTTTTGAAACCACACCTGGAAAAGGGATGAGAAAAATAAAAAGAATTAGTGGTTTGAAAAAACATTTTGAGGGGAAGTTATAAATTGAGATTTTTTTAAAATTTAAGTAAAATAATTTCCATTGTAGTCATTGAATATATTTTTTTTTTTCATAAAGTGTTCGACCGAAAAAAAACGAAAAAAGCGGCTTGGATAAAAATTTTATAAAATTGAGAATTATTGAAAATTTAAGGAAATTTCAACATCAAAAATTCAAAAATATTCTGGAAAAACTCCAAGACTCAGCACCATCGCACTCAGCACGCGCCACCCAAGAATGGTCAGAAAAATTAATCTAAAAAACAATAAAATCCGTTGAAAATTCTGTTAAAATCTATACGACGACATGGACCTCCATAGGTAACTTTTGTCATGAGCCATTACAATATTTAAATGCGAAACTTAAACAGAAAAAAAAAAAACGGTGAACAATGCAGCTAAAATCATCAAAATGCCGAATATCAGGAGGTATCGTTATATGGGGGCTATAGGAAGACGTGAACCTGCACAGACAATTTTTTGTCTTAGGCTGTAGTATTTATTACCAACTTCAAATACCAAGTTTGAAACAATTCCGGTGAATAATGCCGCTAAAATCATCAAAATACCGAATATCGGGAGGTACCGTTATATGGGGGCTATACCAAGACGTGAACCTGCACGTACAATTTTCTGTCTTAGGCTGTAGTATCCATTACGAACTTCAAATACCAAATTTGAAACAATTCCGGTGAATATTTTCGCTAAAATCATCAAAATACCAAAGGTGCCGGGAGGTACCGTTATATGGGGGCTATACCGAAACGTGGACCTACATGGCCCATTTTCAATACTAAAAGTCCTGCAAACATAATATACATTTGAGTACAATTTCATTAATCTACCTCAATTCGTTCGGAAGCTAGAGTGATTTCCATAGACGCGCAGACGGTCTATCCCGAAGGACATCGCTAAATCGATATAGAATTTTATGCTGATCAAGAATATATATATATACTTTGTGGAGTCTAAAATGTATATTTCGAGGTGTTACAAACGGAATGACAAACTTAATATACCCTCCATACTATGGTAGGGTATAAAAATAGTGGTTTGAATAAAAATGTTGAGGATAAAATGGAAAATCAGGAGTACTGAAAATTTTGGGAAAATGGTTTCCATTTCAAAATATTTTTTTTTCATCATCAAAAATTCAAGATTGTCTATTTTCAATTGAAAAATAAATAATAAATAAATAAATAAAAAATAGTGCTTTAAATAAAAATTTTAAGGACAAGTTATAACTTGAGAATTATTTGAAATTTACAAAAAATGGTTTCGACATTTTTTTGTCATCAAAAATTCAAAATCTTCCACTGTTTAACTCTTTGCCATTGTCTATTTTTATATTTTTGTTATTTTTTCATATTTTTTATTCGAAAAAAATACTTTAAAAAAGTCTATAAAATACAATTGCCATAATTATTGAATAAAAATTAAATTTCTCCATTACAGACCAATGTTTTAAACATTTTTATTTTAATCCACGAAATCTGGTGGTTCTTGGGAGGGTTTTTTTTAAATTCCCCAATATCCTATATTTCATAAAAATATTTTACAAAATTCAAGAAATCTTAGATATTTCTTTAAAAATTCTTAAACAATTATTTTGAAAAATTCCGAAAAAATTAAAAGTCCAAATTTCATAATAAGCTCGACCGAAAAAAAATAGTGGTTTGAATAAAAATTTTGGCTATAAGATATAAGTTCTGGAGTACTGAAAAATTTTAGGAAAATGGTTTCCATTACAAACTATTTTTTTTTTTTTTCATCATCAAAAATTCAAAATTTTCCACTATTTATTCTTTGTAATAATTGGCTGAAAAAAAAAAAAAATAAAAAAATTTTGATGTGTTTGTTTTCCTCGGTTTTGGTTTGAATAAAAATTTTAATTTATAGCTTGAGAGTTATTTGAAATTTAAGATGAGTGGTTTCGGCATTATTTTGTCATCAAAAATTCAAAATCTTCTTCCACTGTTTTCTATTCTTAGTCATTGTCTATTTTCAAATATTTGTTTTTTTCCATATTTTTATATTCATACATAGCTCTTTTTTGTTAGCTATTTTTATTTCATTTATAGTTATAAACACACACGCTTACATACACATATATACAAACACACACACACATATATATAGAAACTAAAAGCCCATATGCATGATATTGCCAATAGCCATTGGCCATCCATACATAGGGTGCCATTTTCCATTTGTCCCTGTGTACATTGTGGAAATGTGATTTCGAATATGTATGTATGTTTCCGTGCATAGAAACAAACTATGCACGCAAACATACATACATACACACATGAAATGGGAATATATTTGTGAATATGTATGAATGTATGTTCTCGTATGGTTTTGTGAAAAAATGACAATTTTTATTTAAATCTATAGTTTTTTTTCTTGTTTTCTCCAACCATTCTATTTGCCTACATGTTGTTGAATTCCAATATTCGTTTCAAACCCCTTCTAGCTAGGAATATTATTTTGCATTTGCTCTCTATGGAGAACGAACGAAAAAGAAAAAAAAAAAAAAAACAAAGTATATCAGAATTTTATATACCCGAGTATGAGTATTTTCAAATGTTCGAATGAAAAACAAACAAATATATGGTTAAAATACAAGCAGGATATGCCCATACCCATATATACACATGATACCCTTGATATCTACTCAACTATTCAAAGGTTGGTAGGAAAAAAATGCGGCTCTGAGTTAGCCATGCATAGCTGGCATTTCACATATTCATATGCATTCACATTCAACATGTATAGCCATGCATGAATGCACAAAACGCGATATCCACCACTGGACAAATGTTCAAAGTGAAGTATTTTTTTTTTTCGATTTTTTTCTGCTGCTGATGTTGTCGTTATTTAACTACAATCATCATTTGAATATTCGAGCATGTGCATCGAAATGTTAGCCTGATTCAAAATTAAAATCAAATTATATTAGTGTGAGGATACAGGGTCCTGGCACATAACCACACACACCCCATGGATACCCATAAACATGTGTATGTATGTATGTGTGTGTATATGTATTTGCTGCCTCCTGTATTCAACGACTTTTTATTATTATTTTTTTCATATATTTTTTGCTATTTGTTTTTCGGTTTCTGTTGTTTTTGTTGGCATATTTATTTGTTTTGCTTTCTCTCATAAAGTTAATGTCAATGTTGTGGGTGAAAGATTGTTGTTGACTATAACAATATTTGTGTTCATACAACAAACAAATACACCAGCTTTTGGAAAAAAGGGGGAAAATATTTATTCTTTTTGTTGTTGGTTATTTTACTTTTGTGGGCATGTCCTTTGATTTGCAGGGCAAGGGTAAAAATAAAGTTTTTTATTTTTATAAAAAATTACTTAAATTATGGGCAACAGGCCAAGGGGAAAAATTAACTCTCTTTGCTTTTAAATAATTTAAAAATATTTTCAGGTCATCTGCTAAAAACATAATTAAAAAAGAAAAATTATATTATTAAAAAAATTAAATAAAAAATATCTAAAAATCGATAATTCTTTTTACGTTCTTATCCGAAAATATGGCAAAATTCAGGGTTATAGATTTGATGAACGCAAATATTCACAAGATAGCATTGAAAAAATAGCATAGTCCTGGACGTCCTTAAGACATATTTATTAAAAATCCAGGATTATGGACTAGAAATTTCCTGTATATATATGGAAAAAGAGGTATATTTTTCTAGTTTTTAATTAGAATTATGGCTTTGAACTTGTGGCAAAAAATATTTAAAAAAAATCCCATAGCTATAATTCTTTAAAAAAAATATTTTTTAAATTTTAATGTTCGATTTTCTTAAATCAACGAAATCTGATTGCCTTTAAAAATTCCACGATGTCCTACTGAATTTGAAATAAATTAAAAATAAATACAAATTATTTTTTTTTAAATCCTCGTATTCTAAAAGTACTCAAAAACTTATTTTGAGAAAATCAAAAAAAAAAAATGAAAAAAAACAGTAATAATAATAATAATAAGAATAAAAGTAATAACAATAATAATAACAATAATAGTAATAATAATAATATTAATAATAGTAATAATAATAATAATAATAATAATAATAATAATAATAATAATAATAATAATAATAATATAATAATAATAATATAATAATAATAATAATAATAAAATAATAATAATAATAATAATATAATAATAATAATAATAATAATAATAATAATAATAATATAATAATAATAATAATAATAATAATAATAATAATAATAATAATATAATAATAATAATATAATAATAATAATAATAATAATAATAATAATAATAATAATAATAATATAATAATAATAATAATAATAATAAATAATAATAATAATAATAATAATAATAATAATAATAATATAATAATAATAATAATAATAATAATAATAATAATAATAATAATAAAATATAATAATAATAATAATAATAATAATAATATAATATAATAATAATAATAGTAATAATAATAATATAAATAAAATAATAATAATAATAATAATAATAATAATAATAATAATAATATAATAATAATAATAATAATAATAATAATAATAATAATAATAATATAATAATAATAATAATATAATAATAATAATAATATAATAATAATAATAATAATAATATAATAATATAATAATAATAAAATAATAATAATAATATAATAATAATAATAATAATAATAATAATAATATAAATAATAATAATATAATAATAATAATAATAATAATAATAATAATAATAATAATAATAATAATAATAATAATATAATAATAATAATATAATAATAATAATAATAATAATAATAATAATAATATAATAATAATAATAATAATAATAATAATAATAATAATATAATAATAATAATAATAATAATAATAATAATAATAATAATAATAATAGTAAT